ACCAGGCACTGAACCCTCTCCAACTTCAAAGAAAGAGTCACTGGGCAGAACCCAGGACTCACTCGGGTGAAAAACAGGAACCTTTTATGAGGGCTGCCCAGGGCACCCGGGTTTTTGCCCTTGACAGCTCCTGGGTCTCCCAGGGCCGCAGGCCACCTTCAGGGTCTGATTGCCTCCCATCAGCCCATTTAGCACCGATCCTGAGACATCAGGAACGGCAGCCAAGCTCATTGCCCACTTACAGCTGGATAAGATAGCAGGGCTGCGAAGACAACTGTGGCCACAAATACCCTGTCTGTGAGGTGATGTGGTGGTCTCCAAAAGGACCAGGCTGTTTTCACAGCTTCGGTCTCTGAGTGTGCAGAAGGAGAAGCATGCGTCTCTGAAATTCAGAATGCATTACAGTGAACACAGGAGCACCCAGAGATCGCGCTGCCCGCCTCACACTGCATCCAGAGGGTGAAGTGTCTAGGAGTTAGAGGTAACTGCTTGTGCTATGAGCCAAGTCAGGAGCAGAACGAGGAAAGAATTGGCTTTGGCTTCTAAGTTTTTGTACTACTTGTTCTTCACAGATAGGCAGTTTGGCTCTACCCCATTTTACAGATGAGAACACCAAGCACCAGAGAGGTGAAGTCACGTCTTTGCCCAAAGACTTTCAGCCAGTTAGTCAGCTAGTGACAGAGTCAGCCTAAAAAACCGTCTCCTTAATTCAAGTCAGGTGGGGTTTCCACTGCTTCATACCAACTGCATTTCTTTTAGGACCTAAATCTGACGGCAGAGATCCTGTGGCCTCTTTCTTTAAAATCTGTGTATGGGTATAGGTGGTGTCTTGCTCACGGTATGAGGCTCAGCCAGTGCTGCTGACTCATTCGATGGACCTTGTCCCCTCTCCTGGGCAGAGCTTGGCGTTAATTCAAACGCTACTGTCAAATCCACCTGCAAGGTAGCAGTAAGCCAGGGGACGCTTGAATGGCAGCAAATGCACCAGCCAGAAAGGACATCACTTACCCTTACCCTCCCGTCAGAGCAATTCCAGTCCTAATTCCACTCTGAGCCTTCCCATTAGGAGGACAAACACTTCTCCCGGGGAAGCTGGGGATTAAGGGCAGAGTGACTGGGTTTAGTGGTCCAATGGAGTCTCATTTTCCATAGGAACTGGTTCCAAGACCTCCTGTAAGGCAAAAATCACACGACGTGAAAATTGCCCTTAAAAATCCTTTCAGACACCCATGAAATACAACAAGCAGACATCTCACTTCTCAGGAAATCCCAGACAGCCCCCGCTTCTCCTTCAGCTTGGAAGAGAGCTCTGTGGCCTCAGCTGAGCAGCAAAGAAAGCCACTGGCAGTCAGGGCCACCCCGGACCAGAAAAACTTATCTTTGAGCGTGCTATGAGGCTGGTGTGAAACGCGGCCGGAAAGGGCTGCCGTGCATGTTCCCACGTCACGCTCACTGCAGGCACCCCATGCTCCCTGAGCGGAGGGCAGGAGACCGTCTGCCACACTGTATCGCCATATATATTTCTCTGTCTTCCCCTGTACATGCCCCCAAACTGAGCTGGCACAGCTGATTTTGTGTAAATTAAGTGGGTGCTCCAGGAATCTCCACCTTAACACGGGTCTCTCGACATGTTGCCACCTTGCACGGCCACTCCTGAATTCCTGACCCACAGAAATGTGAGACAATAGATGTCTGTGGTTTTGAGCCGCTAAATTCTGGGACATTTTGTCATACAGAATACAAATGAAGACTTCCAATACAAGGGGATGCTGGAGAGGCAAGCTAAGGAGAAGAGCAAGTTTTCCAGCAGAGAGCGAGGGAGTCAGGTCTGCCTGGCCGCAGAGAGGTCGCGTTGGAAGGGGTAAGGCTGGCAAAGACGCCAATTAGGACGCTCTACCGTTGTCTAGGCAAAAAAAAAGAAGAAGAAGAAGACGACGACGACACATTAAGACAACACAACAGAGATAGAAGAGTGCTACAAGAGACAGTTCCTAGTAAGAAAGGCCAGGTCTTATTGATCAGCTGGCTACAAATAGTCTTTAAAAAGTAGTAAGATCGGTTAACATTTATGGACAATTTAATATGTACCAAGCACTATTCTAAGTGCTTTACACATATTCACACATTTAATGCTCACAACACACTCATGATAGATACTATTGTCATCTCATTTTACAGATGAGAAAACTGAGGCACAGAAAAGCGTGTGACCTGCCCAATGCCATTCAGCGGGTAAGCAGCAGAGCCTGGGCTCAAACCTGGGCAGCTGCGCCTTTAACTTCTCACTGGGCTTCCTGGGGAGGGATCAGAGAGAGAGAAAGGGAGGGGCAGGGTGGGACAGGGGTGAGCTCTCAGGTTTCTAGTCTGGGCAACTGAATGCAGCCTTACCCAAAGTAGGAGCAGATGACTTGACTTGAAAGAAAGACAGTACATCACCAATCACCTACTAATTCCCTGTGTACCTCATAGGAGCTGCTAATGGGCTCAACTACAATCCAGCACGTGAAATGTAGAATAACATCCGGACGTGGCACCAGGCCGCACTTCTACCACACTCCAGTAAAAATAAACCTCTCTGTCCAAATATAGAGTGGTTAGAAGTGCCATGTTTTACAGGAGAAGAGGCAGTTATTTGGCATTAAAAATAGACAAGTTTTGGCTTCCCTGCAGATCTGGGCAACTGCACTGCAAGTTTCCAAGTGGAAACCCAGAAGGATGGGGTAGGCCCCCCTCAGACTGACTCAGCTATTTAAAAGGCCCAACAGAAAATTGCGGCCCTTTTCTGGGCCTCAGTTTACTCACCCATAAAATGAAGAGGTGAGACAAGACAGTTCAGTGTCATTTCAAGCTCTCACTGTCTATGAGCGGGGGCGCTGGAGTCTAAAGCTTGTCCTCAGAGAGCCAACAGCTTCCTAAATCATGGGGCCCAGCACGGGCAAGGCAAGTTGGCCCTCTGGCTCTCAGCTTCCTGCTGACAGGACCAGGGGTGGTTTTCCCCAAGGATTTTCAGTGCTCTGTCAAGAGCTTTAAATTACCCTCTTGAGTCAGACACATTGTTAACCCACAAAGAAAAGCAAGCCAGGAAGTCCCCCTACAACTAGCCTACCTCCTAAGATGCTCCAGCTTGACAGGGGTGGGGGCGGACGAGGGCATGGGCAGGTCCTTTGCACACGCTCCCTCTAGTCTTTCGAGGCGGGCGCAGCTGTATTTTATACATGGGAGAACTGACAGCTCCGAGAGGTTACATAACTTGCCTAAGATCATTCAGCTGGTGGAGGCTGGAACTGGAGCCAAATCTAGGTCCAGATTCAAGGCCCGTGTCTTTCCACCTCCTGGGGCCTCTGCTGCGCTGCTTATTGTGTGGTCAGAAGGCTCTTCTCTGCTCCAACAGGGGAAGGGAAGTCCCGACAAGCTGGGAGCCTCAGGGGCATCTCAGGATGGCAGCGGAGACACGAGTTGGGAGTCTCAAATTCCCTAATGGGTCCCCTTGCAATTGTACCACACCTTGAAACAGACCAGCTTTGCTTTAAATGGTTTTATTAAAAACGGTACCAATTGATGAAGGGAAGACACACACACACACGCACGCATGTGAAGAACAGAAAGCCAAATACTCTGTACAGGTTAAAAACCAATGGGTCCCCATTCCCCTCCCTCTTTCCCTGTCTCTCTCCCAGAGGCAGGGTGCCTAGAACCCAGGGAAGCTGATCCAGGATGGACAAAATGCTACATTCTCACTGGGTCTCCCCTGACAGCCCCACGGACCCAGGGGTGGGTCCCGGCTGGGCGACGGTCACAGAGCAGGGAGAGGTGCTGGCCACCTGTGCAGAGGGGCCCTGTGAACCTAGGCGCCTGCACAGGCACATCTCCGGAAGCGCTGGCCTTTCCCTGCCATTCCCTCACGGCTCTAAGTCCTCCCTAGCCCTGAGGGGCCTGCCTGCCCACTCACTGCCCAGTGTCCCCAGGAGGCTTCACAGGCTGATGTTAATCCTTTCCTGGGACAATTCTGGCCTAGGTGGCCGGCTGCCAAGGGCCCCTGCCTACACACAGAGGGGCCCTGAGCTCCCTCTGGCCTGGGCGGCAGCACTGGTTCACAGAAGCCCTGAGGGCAGTGGCAATTTAAGCCTCCCTGCTTCTGCTGCTCTCTGCTCGCCCTCCCCATTCCTCGACCAGTCCCAGCAAAAGACGAGCTTTCGTGGGGCGGCGTACGCCTTGCTGACTAGGACAGTCAAGGGGGTCCACAGCCTCCTTCCCAGAAGACTTCAGGCAGATGAAGGCCCTAGATGGGCCATCACAATCACCCTCCCTGCCATGCCCAGTCAGAAGCCACCCTTGGCCAGGGCCTGGCTAATGCGGATGGTGAGACAGGACAGCGGGGCCCCTCAGACACTGCGAACATGCCTGCCACATAAGCTCTGGAAACAGACCTACTCCCCTAGGGGTTTGGGGAGGTCACTGGGAGGTGATCTTTTTCTGCCTCAGATTGAGCAAGAGAAGGCCATGGGGACAGCTCTCCGGCTGCCCAGTCTTTGAAGCAGGCAAAGCCGGGCCCAGGCCCAGTCCTCCAACTGGCTGGGGAAGTCAGATGTCTGGCCTGGGGGGTTCCCTCCCCAGTCCTGTTCACAGGCTTCCAGAAACCCCTACTCAGGGGTTCTGAATTGGAAGGGCTGTTTTAACCCTGAATAGCAGGCTTCCCTTCCTCTAGGGCATTTCTACAATGGGGAGGGAGGTTGGTTTCCAGTCCCTCTCCCACCCCCAACCGTCAGCAAACCACAAAAGCTCCACAAGTCTTCAGCTGGTTACAGGTCAGGACCCAGGTCAGACTCTCCCTCCCTCTAAATCTGACTCTCCACCCCCTCACTGGAGACAGCCAAGTCCCTGGGGGTGGGGGGGTGAGAAGAGGGGGCCCAGGGGGAGGGACAAGTCTCCTGAGGCTGGACCTGAGGAATGTTCGGACCAGCTCACCAGGCAGAGGGGGAAGGGGCCCGGGTCCAGATCACTAGGCCAATTAAAAACAGCCAGCCAGGAGGAACCTCTCTCCCTCCTGGGGATATTCTGCTTCTGTGAGTTACCTCCTGGGTTTTCTAGGGGAAGGGGAAGGGAAAGGGGGGAGGTTTTAAATTTGCCCTGGCTTGCTTAGGATATAGGTGAGTGAGTTCTTGGCTTCACAGAAGATGGAGACAGTGCAGTCAGACCATCTTCCACCTGGCCCCAGGCTCAGCGCTCAGATGGGCTTGTCAAACTCTGGGCTCAGTTCTCAGGACAGGCCCTCCTGGGCCTGGCGGGGTCCCTGAAGTGGGTGGCTTTGCCTCAGCACCGAAGTATAAACCATTTATTTGCTCTCTCACTCAGCTCAGGTGGAAAGTCTGCCAAGAGGGGTTAAAAATGGTTGACAGAAACAATCCTGGGTTTCTTGTGTGTTCCAGTCAAGCATATACCAGCAGCCTGCCTGTCACAGCCTTGGTCAGGGAGAGGGGAAAACACCACATGTCCTCTGCACATCGTAAGTGGTACGGAGACACGCAGGGAAGGCTGGATTTCACAATGGTCAGCGCGTTCCAGAGCCAGTCCTCATGCCTGTTCTCTGGGTTCCTTCTTGTAAGCAAGAACTCATCTTCTTAGCAGACAAACCATGGTACACACCCTGAGAATATAATTCTGGCCAAGAAGAGGTAACACCTCCAGAACATCTAAGTAGAATAAAACAAAGGCTTTTGCAGTTTGAGGTCCTTCTCCTCAGGGCCACCGTGAGCCCATGTGGCACCTTCATGCAAATTAGGAAAGGTACCAGTTTTTCTGGGCAGACATAGCCCCTACACAAGGGCATACAACTTAGTGAGCAGAGCACAGGCTGGATTTTAGCCTCTAGTATCTTCCTCTGCAGGTGCCCTTGGGCAGTGGACAACTTGCCCGACATCCAGAAGATCAATGCTTCTTCCTTCAACAGTACTGAGGACCTCCTCTCTGTAGAATCAGAGGAGTTTGGACTTGTTCAGATCTGAGAGTCTACTCTGGACTTCTCCAATTTCCTTGGGTCGCCCGGGGTCTTCTCTGCCCAGGAAAACCATCTTTTCTTTGGGCCTGCTTCCCTGTTTAGCACCAATGTTATCTTTTCTTACATATGCAAAAATTATCATTTAATTTCTAGGTTTTGCTAACCAGATTCTCTGTATTTTCAGATTCCCTGTGTCTGCTATTAGAGCTGGCAGACTGGCTGCTTTAAACTCTCTCCATTAGCACCACAGCAAGGAGAGAAGGGAAGTTCAGAGGCAGCTGGGGGCCTGCCGAGGTCCAGAGCACGTCCTTCTGGCCTGGCGGAGGCTGAAGGAAGACGGGCATGTTGTACCCGGTTTTGACGGTTCTGCACTCTCACCGTTATCTGTTGCTCTAAAAGAAGTATTTCAGCTGACAAAGTCACGGTGCTGGCTTCTTCCTGCATCATACTAGGTGTGAAAAAGGAATGGGGGTAAGGAGGAGGAGGTATGTAGTTTCCAAGGAAACCAAGGGCTCCAGGTTCCTCTAGGGCTGACTCTTACAGGTGGGATGGCCACGTTTCCCAGTCCCACTGCAGTCCTGCTCCTTCACGCCCTAGCGTGCTGATCCTGGGGGTGGAATGCAGCCTGTTTCTGGGTCTTTGGAAAGAAGAGCTGACAAAGGCACAAGCTTCTGGTGACAGCACGTTGACTGGCTCATTGACTCATCCATGGCTGACACCCAGACGGTTCCAGAAAGCCAGAGGGGGCAGTGGTTCTGTACCTCAGGACCAATCCTGGGGCCTCCAAGTGGGACCAGGTCAGATTTGAGGCCTACGAAGCAGTTTGGTTCACTCTGTGGCATGTTTGAGGGGCCCTTGGAGGAGCCCAACCCTCCCTGAGGTCTGCTGGAGATGCCTGGGGCTGGGCAAGGATCCCTGAGCCCTTGGGGTGGGCACTGGCTGGGCCACATGGGAACCCAGATACAGGCAGGCGGGTCTCGTGAGGTTGCCGCGCTCAGATGGGAAGCCCCTGGCGGGGGCCCTGGTGGGTCAAAGCAGTGTGACTGTCCTGATCTCGGCCCCGTCCGCGGTGGAGGGCAGACAGGCTGGATGGAACCAGGAGTGCAATCCAGTCTCCTATTGCTTAACTGTGTTCCTGTGGATAAACTACAGTCCAGTCGTCAGAGAACATCACTACCCGGTCATCTTCGCCAACTTCTGACTGAAGAATCTGCTTGTCAGAGCCCTTGGGAGGACCCACCATCAGAGACACATCGGCCTGAACTTCGACAGTGTTTGACAAAGGCCCCCATTCCTGGTCAAGGCCCTGAACAGGGGGAAAGGTCCCACTTGGGTATGTCTTATGTACACATAGAGATAAATTTTTTAAGATAAAAACAACAAAAAACAACTTCACAAGACACAGTGTCAGTCCTCGCCGATGTCCTCCTTCCCGCGGTGCCCCATTCGGAGAGGGCAGCCCAGCCTCACCTGGGACCTGCCCCGTTCCTGTTCTCATCTCCATTCAAGGCAAGGTTGTGTAGGAAGAGGAGGATCTGCCACCACACGCGATTTCGGTTCTGCTGGTGCTGAAAGGGAAAAAAAAAATCATGACTCCTAAACGAAGCCTTGGAAGACGCCTTATCATTTCCAATAAAAATTCAGATCGACATGTCTGGGGGCAGCACTTTAATCCTATCAGTACAGCAGACTTGGGGTGGGGGGGACGAGAGAAGTGGCGATGAGGGGGAGACAGATAGTTGAGTTCTCTGAAAACAATTGCAGTTTTAACATTAAAAAGACAAGACCAAGCTCTTTATGCATGGTGCACAAGAGGATTAAACTTTTTCCCCTGCTTGCAGGATTTTCCAGAGTTTAGCCAAGTGCTGCTTTTAATCAGATTGGCTCCTGAGCCCCTCAAACCTCAGCTGCATGAACAACAAACTTTCTTCAGAAAGAAAGAGAAGTGCCCCCCTCCCTCCCCCACTCCATAGTAACACAGAGAACAAGGGGGAAAAGGGGGGAGCCTCCATCTGCAAGTGATTTGACACTGTGAAGGTCAAAGGGTTAATCTTCAATTTAAACCACACTGCTGAGGCAGCAAAAATCTGATTTCATCCAGTGCAAACACGCACACAGACAGACATACACACACACACTTGTGCGCCCGCCCTCTCTCCCTTCCCAGCATCTCCAGCTCAGCACTGCCCTTTTTATAGCTGCTCTTGACAGTAAGCCATAAATAACCCCTCTTGGAGCTCTTTCCTACTGACTGGAGCCAATTAAACGTTAAGCAAGAACATACTTGAAAACAAAACAAAAACAAAGAATGCACACTACTCTCTGGAGGTTATCCCAGGTCCTACTGTCAGGCAGGGAAGCTGGGGGCAAAGGTCAGGGGTCAGTGGCTCAGAGGATTGTGGCCGGTGCCCCACCCACACAGGTACCGGTTCCCTCAGGCCAGAAGAGGCCCGGAGGGGACGAGGGGTGCTGGAAGAAGTGGTCTTTGTTCTCCCTTTGTCTGCCAGGGCAGGAGGACTGGGCTGGGGCCCTCTCCACAGGGCTCTCAGTGGACAGGGGAATAAAAACCTAGTGTGCAGAAAGAAACCGACACAGGCTGGACTTGGATTACCTTGCACGGGCCCAGGCAGCAAGCACGTTTGTGTCAAGGGCAGGGCGGGGCGGGGCGGGGCATGGGGCTGGAGCCCTCTCTTGGGCTGCCTTTAACCACCACTGCCCTGGTCACCACCGGGAGACTCCCAGTCAGACGGGAAGAGGACAGGGGAAGTCAGAGGCAGAACTGGAAAGTGAGTCCGGGTCTCCTGACACCCAGAGCTTCACAAGTACATCTGGCCCAGGACAAGCACACGGGTTGCTGGGTTCCCTTTCACTCTGCCTTAGGCCACGAAGAGATAAGAGCAGGGTGTCCGCTCAGGCCGATCTCAGAGCCCTGCCAAGCCAGAAGAGAATACCCGATGCCTGTGGCAACAGGGTTCTTCTTTCCCCTGTGGAAGGGAGGCTGGAAAACCCAGAAAGGTGGCGGCACGGCTGCTGCTGGGAGGGGCAGGGGAACGGGGCTGTGCCACGGAGGAGGCCTGGCAGACTGCGGCTGGGAGACTGATGGCTTCCTCGTGTTTTGTAAACAAAGATGAGTAAAAAGAGGAAACACACCCGGCTTAACAAAATCTGGTTACAGTAAAGCAGCGTGAAAATGGACTCCGCTGCAAACCTGAAGACTCAGGCCTGCAGCAGCTGGGCAGAGAGCGCCCCCCCTTCCCCTCCCCAGCTGCTGCCCAGGACAGGTGCAAAGGTCATGTGGTGGAACAGGAGGAGATTCCAGGAAAAAGACTGGTCCCTGGAGAGGCCAGTCTGCTGGAATTCCCAGTCTCCTCAGGTGCCTGTTCGCACAGGCCAAGTAACAATAACAGCCATGATCATAAGAATAATAGTAACGCTGAGCATGCAAGGCTGTTCTGAGTGTTTTACATCTTCCCCTCTCAGAGTGTGGTCCATGGACTGGCAGCTTCAGCATCATCTAGGAGAGCTTATTAGAAATGTAGATCTACTGAAGCAGAATGTGAACCTGTAGCAAGATCTCCAGGCGACTTTGAGACACACTACAGTATCAGAAGCGCTGCTTTACATACTCTGTACAAGAAACTCCTTTGGTGCTCTTAAAAACCCTACAAGGGAGATATGCATTATGCCCACTTCACAGATGAGATCAATGAAAGAGTTGGGTAACTTGGTCACATAGCTGGTAAGTGCCAGGGGCTGGACTAAATCCAAACCAGTTTTGACCCTAGAGCAATGTCCTTACCCATTATGTCTCTGAGTGCCACCACATATACCTTTCTTTACACCAAATCTGACCCTCTATTCTCTCCTTCTCTAAATCATCTCAAAATAGCACAACATCCAGGGAAGGGAGATCACAATTCTATGATTTGGGGCCTGGTCCAATCCCATCCACTGCATGCCTCAGTTTCTCCCAAATTCCCCTACCAGGGCGCTGCCTGGGTAACGCCCTGAGCCTTGAGGTCTCTGGGAATAAGGCAAGGCAACACCCTCACTCCCATCACTGGGGGAGCCAGAAACAGCTATGGGCCGGACAGTGCTGTCAGCCAGGAGGGCTGAGGCCTTGCTGGAAATCACATATAGGCCTAGGCACGGGGGCGGGGGGACGGGGGCGGGGGGCGCGGCACGCAAGCCTACCCTCCGGCAGGGTCTGGGTTCTGTGCCTCTGCCTGTGACAGGCCTCGGGGTTCATGAATTGGCAAGGAAGGCTCTGGGCCAGGAATCAGAGGACTTGGCTGAAGTCTGAGGTCTCCTTTTAGCCTGTCTGTGAGTCCTCACTTCCCCTGTAGGTGACAGGCAGGTTCCCAAGCCTGGCTGTGTCGCAGAGCCCCCTGCGGTAGAGCTGTAAATACAGAGTCCCCGGGTCTCACCCAGGCCAGCTGGGTCCGAACCTCCAGGGAAGGCACCCAAGGAATCTGTATATTGAACAAGCTCCCAGGTGATATTTCTTAAATCAGAAGTAACATTTATTGTATATTTTAGTCATAAAAGTAATACATGTTAACGGCAGAAAATTGGAAAATACAAGAAATTAGAGGAGAAAATAAAATCATTCATGATCCTATAGCCTAGAAGAAAACACGTCTTGATTTGGTGTTTTCTTCACTCTCTTTCAACCTTTTCCCACCAGAGTAATGACTTGGCCAAGTCAGAGGTAAGTCCGGCCCAGGTGGTACTACAGCAGCCAGGCCACAGACAGGCATTTGGAAACCACTGAGGTGCTTTCCAACCCTAAGGTTTGGTGATTCGGAGTTTGTCATCCACAATTATCTTCAAGATTACAACTCAGAGCTCCAACAACTGAATCCGGTTAGCCTGGTGAAGGGTCTGGGTGGGCCTGGAGAACAGGCTGCCTCATACAGAGTTAGGCTGGCGGCTGCAGCAGCCGTGAGACCAGCGAGAGCAGGCCAGGGAAGCCGCCTACAGCCCCAGCAGCCCTTTCTCTGGGCATGAGCGGATGCTACACGTATCCCACTCAGCCTCCTCCCGCCACAGGGCAGGCCCCACAAGGCCCTGTTCTGAAAGGAAACCAAGCTGCCTCATATCAAGAGAATCAAAGAATACCCTGATTTTGAGGAACAACAAAAATATTTTTTAAAAAATTAAACAAAAGGGCCTGACTAGAAAGGGAAGAAAAAGGACTTGAAGGGAGGCCAGCGAGAAACAGTGCGGAGGAAGGAAACGAACATTCACCCAACAGGATGAAGTATACAAAGACACCAGAACACCAGAGAACATGGATCCTTCCAGAAGAGGGTGTGGAGAAGGGGAGAAGAAAGAGGGAACCAGGAAAGAGTGTGCTTGGCCTCTGACTCTTGGTACTTGGCACAGCACCCAGCACCTAATCTCAGATCAATGAGTGCAAACCCTGGAACAAGGCCCAGCTCTCTCAGACTAGGCTTGGGCACCCCTCAAGGTACGGGAACCTGCAAAGAGTGGGTATTCCCAGAAGGCATAGTCAGGGTGCTCTCAAGACTAGGGGGCCAAGCTATAGGACCTGGGAAGCCGGTGGGACTTTACGCTTACACCAGAGGTGAATTTCAGAGGTGCTGAAATTCAGAGTCTAGAGGGTAGGACCAAGGTATGGAGGTAAAGAACTGAGGTGAATGCCCAAGGGAAGGGGTTCAAACATGGTGGGTAAAAATATTCTCTTCAGCTAAGAGAGCACAACCAGGCATTAGAGGCCTAGGGTTGTCCTTTGACGCAGTCCCACTTTCTTGCTGTGGTCAGAGGATGCAGGCGTCAGGTGACAAGTGCTCCAGTCACCCCCAGTGTGTGCAAGGCACTCTCACCAAACAGGCGTTTATCCTGTATAACAGGGAACTTGTAGGGACACACAGTAGGTACTTAACAAGTACACATTGGACTGACTACAGAAAAGTTAGCCTTGCAAGATAACCTACTTGTCTGAAGCCAGGAACAACTGATGTCTGGCCAGGTCTAAAGATGTACTAGATGTGATAGTATCAGCCTCTTGCTTGGGGAGAGGCCCAACTAGTAAAAGGTCTTTTTTTTTTTAAAGCTAGCTGTGGTGTCTGACATGGTTGGATTACACAAATCAAACTCTGTTTCATCCCAGGTGGCCTCTGCCCTTAAGCACAAAGAGTATTGCCTGCCCTCCCCAGATAAGAATCTCCCCCTGCCCCTCCCCTTCGGATCCAATTCACACCCTGGGAGGGGGGGAGAGTTGTCACCAGCGACCAGATGCTCTAGCAACAACTAATACACCCCAAAGAATTAGAGGAAGAAACAAGGCTACGCTGTGGCCCTGCTTTAAAAGAACCCTGAAAATTTACCAAACAGATAGCAATTTATTATATCTCCTACTCCGAACAAGAGTACTTCCTTATCGTCCCGTTTGCTCCTCACAAAGATCTGGGACACAGAAGGGCAGGTATTATCAGTCACAGACAGGGAAGCAAAGGCTCAGAAGTTACCCCAGGCAAATTAGTTGAGATAGGGGGTTATTGAGACCTCCTGACTTCTCACTCCACAGCTATGTTCTTTCACT